ATTAATTGATGATTTATTGGATGGTAAGGATCGTTTTTTAGCCAATTATATTCTCTATATTTTAAGCGAAGTAAAAAAGACATCCATGGATAGCCATGAGCCATGAGCCATGTCATAAATTTCCAAGCTAGTGATTTTAGTGGGAAATTAGGAAGAAAAAAAAGCTGAATTTAGATTTGCTAAGCTATGGATAATGGATGGATATGCTGACAATATGATGTTTTTCCCATGGCTCTTGTTTCCCATCACTTCACCTCACCCCACCTCACCTCACCAAACCTTACTACACCTTACTACACCTTACCACAATCTCACCACATCTCACCACACCTCACCACAGACCTTGAAACGATACTGCACTCCTCCTCCTCATCTGCATAACAGTTTCTATCAATCAAACAATTTGATTGATCGACCAATCCCTTTCCAAGAATTGAATCTGGCAGCTCGTACCTTACTTGCAGTAGTGTAACCATGTCATCAACATGGGGTTTCAATAACTCGCGGCAATTTGTTACCTGTACGCGCGATCATCAAACTAGATCCTCATCATCTTCCAAGTTCTTACTTCCTCCCTACTATTATTGCACTGCTCGGATTTTCTCCCCGGGCATTTTCATTGCCATGAATCTATTTCCACACTCGTCCACCTGCCCACCGCTAACTAATCTATACCTACCTACTTACCTGCGTTTGCATACATGATACATCATTTATCCTGGCAATGCTTACCGACTATTCAATGTTGTTGAATGTCCTTCCCGATTGTTCCATCTCCGTCCCCTTCTCCATTACATTACAAATTCTGACCACTAACCTCCGTCACTAACCATTAGCTTCCTCCGGCTAACTTCTATCCTCCCATTGAATGCTAATCCACATTGTCCATTTATTACACTTCGTAGTGGTCAATCCGTTTACTAGACAATTAAGATTCAGAAAAGCCTTCCATGGTACTTACCGTTCGTTGTACAGGACCTCTCGACCAAGCCATAGTGGATATCTGTCAATGAACATGGTGGGTTCTGTTTTCCCTGCGCCGCCAAGCCTTGAATACACGTTCCACCATCTTATTCCTTCTTTAGCAACCTGCTGCCATATCCCGGTATACCCGTCTTAACCTAAATCGATCTTCCGTAGATCAATAATCCCGACTTTTCGGAACTATCTTAGAAACAAAGTACTTGTTACTTACTCGAGGCTGAGGCTTTACTCAGCGCTTTCAAGGTTTCTATTTCAGCCCATCCATGAGAGGCCCGGTTCCTTTCCAGATACCTTGTCTCCATCGTTGTGATGGTAAGCCACCTCGTGGTAGGAGACCATCCATTTGGGACTTGGTTCGGGATATGACCAGGCATGACTTTCTATTCCTGCAAGTGTGTCTGTACTGAGGCAGGCATGCTTCCAACTCTCCACTGCGCCTACGACTCATCATCTCATCCCATGTATAGGTTTCCTGCATGTTTGTTGACCTGCATACCCTACATGCAGGTTCATACCAGCCCATACCCACTGTTGCCTTATTTTCCCATCACGGCAAGACTCACTCATTCAAGTGGCAGAGTCTATAAGGTAGTCATGATCCTCCGATCAATGACTCCTACCTTCCTACATCACAAGCTTCATCATCTGTCAAGTTTAGACTTCCTTTGTCCAGGCATCATCTCCTTTCCGTCTGCTCGTTAATATATTTCATTGCCTCATTTCTCGTTGATCTCATATTTTTTATTGTCTCTATACTCAATCTTCGTTACCCCTCCATCTGGAACCAAGACCCCACTACGCTATATAACTTATTCGAATTCGACAACTACCAGGACTATAATCAAATCATTATTCAAGATGTGTTATCTAGTGGTCGAAAGATACTCAGTCTGCCGCTGCCTCTACTACCAGCACAGCGTTGATATGTGCGCCGCATACGGTACACAAGGTCATGGAATTCAAGAGAGAACGGTGTTAGTTGGATATGCTTGCGATAAACATTCAACTCACCAATCCTACCAAGATCCGTATGCGCGGGAAGACTACTCAGACTCTGGCTATCACACAGCTAGTCATAGTTCGCATACCCACTCATCCAGACAACACCGCAGATGAAATATATTGTCTTCGATAACTGGCTATTCATGGCAATCGCGACCTCTTGTACGCTTCGAATTCGATCATTGGATTAAATATCTCTTCTCATTCCGCCGCAGAATTCCTTCTGCTCCACCATCCGAACTCTCACTCCTTTTCATGGGCCACAATCGAACAACCACCACCTCTGCGCCATGACCCAAATCGCATGCGACAATCTCTACTTCTGATACCTACTACCTTATACAACTATATACAATTACGATCGAAGAATGAATACGCGCGATTCCATGCTCTCCACGAAGTTATTGAAGGCACGAAAGAATATATATATATATAACAAAGAGAACGAGTTTTCATTGACTATAAATGGGGAACCTCTACAATCATTGAAGTCTTTGGCATTGTATAGTGGGCTTAATACAGCATGGCGCGTTGGATCTTCGGGAGATTGGGCATTGCGATTCTACCCAGGCACTCTTGTTGTCTGCGATCATCTCTTTCTTTTGTCACGTCGATTTTATGCATTGGGAAAAGGGAAATATACCTGGTGTTTGGGAGGGAATTATCATATTGAGCTGGATTGTCTTTTTTGGGGAAAGTTTCTCAAGTCATTCACCAAGTCTTTGGATCTGTGATTCGTACTTGGTTGATTTGTCAGAGAGTCTCTTTTGTGTTCGATACCTGGGAGCTAGACTCCAAGCTCAGGCAGAAAATCTTGTTCCAATAGATTGGACGAGAAGAATTTGGTCTTAGAGGCTGCGCCTACTTGGCTCATCTATTTGCAATGGGTTTTTCTTACAGTTTTCCTTGGGTTTCTTTTTGTTTGGCTTCTCGCTTTTCGTTGTTGTTTTAGAAAACACGTGTGGATCATGTGTTGAAGTCATGTATTCTACTCACAGCTCAATCCCAGGACGGATCATTCAATACTGGATATTGCAGGTATGAAACTTTTAGAGGGCTGTAGGGAAATTGGGATGTCACAGTAAGAGTAAGAGGAAGAGGGGGATAGTAAACCGGTTTTTACTAGTTCTTAGAGAATTACGGATTTATGCATCATGGATTATGGATAATGTGGATTGTAATATCAATAGAAGGTTGGAGGGGGAGAAGGAGAAGGAGAAGGAGAAGGAAGAACAGCGATAGCAACAGCAATAGCAATAGCAAAAGCAATAGCAATAGCAAAAGAAACAATAATAGGAATAGTAATAGGAATAGAAAGAGAAATGATTTGAAATTGAGTTGGTTGATTGATGAAGAAATTCGAAAGATAGATTTCTAAGTCTCATTCTCATTATCAATCAGTCACTCGTCTACCTGCCTCCCTAGTAGTATATTTCTCGATTCAGTGTTTTGTTTCATGATTTCTCGATTCGTCATATATATCTTGATTTTTGGATTTGGATTGGATTTGGATTTGAAATTCCCGGTCTGTATTGTATGTACCTACCTAGGTATGTACGTGTATGTAGGTAGGTAGGTACGTGGAGGTGCATGCATGCATGCGTGCATGCTTTCTAGCTCATGTGATTTGTAATGTATGCACGGGGTTATGCAAGTGTGGTGGTTGATTAACCGTCCACCATATTGATTGATTGATTGATTGATTGATTGATTGATTGATGAGATGAGATGAGATGGGATGAGATGAGATGAGGGATGGAAGGAGGGAGGGAGAGAAGAAAGGGAAGGAAAGAATTTTATTTATTTAGATTTTTTGAAAGGGGGGTTTGATGGGGTTTGATTTGATTTGAGGTGATTCGATGGGATTTGATTTGTTGTGATATATATTTATAAGGGTTTTTGGAAGTTCGTATTTGTTTTTTTTCCTTCTTGCTTTTTTCTTCTTTTTTTGTTTCTGTTCCTGTTTATGTTTTTGTTTCTAGAGTGAGATGGTGATGGTGATGGTGATGGTGATGGTGATGGTGATGGTGATGGTGATGGTGATGGTGATGGTGATGGTGATGGTGATGGTGATGGTGATGGTGATGGTGATGGTGATGGTGATGGTGATGGTGATGGTGATGGTGATGGTGATGGTGATGGTGATGGTGATGGTGATGATAGAGGGGAGAGGTAGATGGAGGTAGAGAGAGGTAGATGGAGATAGAGAGAGGTAGATGGAGGAGTATCTAGTAGATAAATGGATAATAGATTGATTGATTGATTAATAGGCGTATATATTTTTTATTTGTATATATACCTAGTCCATAGTATATAGTATCTATATAGTATAATATAATATACGACAAATAATAAGTGGTAGATAATAGATAGGAGAGAGTTCTATTACTAGTATTATAACTATATACCTAGTAAAGAGTAGCTAGTATTGAGTTAGCGCTATACATGACAATCCATAGGTCATATATATATTTGAAGAATTCAAAAGTTAACAATAACAGAAAGCTAGGTATTCTATTCCCTTGAGTATAATATGATATTTGATAAGACCAACTTACTATTTACATTTCAACAGCGTTCCCAGAATTGTCAACAACCAAACACGATGAGATACAACACAAGTACTTTATGTAAATACAATTAAGATCCCATACATACATAGGTAGTAGGTAAGATTACAATAACGAGACCATCTATCCATCGATGGTATCCTCGCTTTTTGATCCTCAAATATTCCTCCCGGCCTCAGATTCCTTCCCGTAGGTTTTCCCATTTTCCCTATTGATCCTTCGACTCCCTTTCCCGTGCCGTATCCGTTGCATTCATCCACATTTGATCATTCCTCTCAAGGGTACTTCCCGAAGGAATTTAATCACTCGGGCGCTCCCACAAGGCTGAAAGCTCACCCCAAGAATACCCATAATCGTCTTCTCTCTTCTTTCCTTCCTATCTGACCCCAAAATTATACCTTGGGGAACCAAACCCCAAAATTTATGACCAAAAAGCCATTTCACTTAATTATTATTCTGACCCCCATCAATGCCATGTTTCAGAGTTTTAAACCAATCCGAATTTTGATCCACCATAAAATTCGTGATATTGAATTCATTCGATCCGTTTCCCATCTCCGGCATCTGTAGATCACCCACTCCGTTCCCATTCCCATTCCCATTTCCACCATTACCATTCGCCTGATTTTCACCTGAAGCAACCGGTAATCTGGGTACATTGAAGAAATCAAAAACATCCAAGTACTCCAACTCATTCGGTGCTGGAGTTCTGGCCGGAGTAATACTTGGCATTCGTGAAAGTCCAACATGCTTCGGTTGTCTCGAGATTAGAAAATCTAAATCATATGCACATCTCCTCATATCCGCAAGTATTTTAACTGAAGAAGGAGTTACACGTTCGCCGTGTGTACCAGCAGCATTTTCGCTTTCGCGATGTTCGTCAAGTACCCGTTGAAGAATAGTTGTGTAGCGTTCAGCTACGAGCCAGTAGGTGCCCATGTCTCGCAGTGTGTCAACGAAAAATTGGATCTGAGGACTGAGTTTGTGTTCGATGGTTGAACCATGGACGAGGAGTAAGCGGGCAGCTACCCAGAGGGTGAAAGCAAATGGTGGGCCTAATTTTGGGAGCATGCCATTTTGGACCACGTATCTGTAGGGCTGTGTTAGTAAATCTTACTCGAAATTTGCTTTTGTAAAACATCAAAATTTACAAGAAGATTGAGTCAATTATTAGAATTTCAAGGGCAGGAGTCAAGGGTAAGATTTAGAAACATAATATACGTACTCTCCTAAAGCTGCAATATTCTCAACAGCGCCATGACACCGTTGACTCGCACTATACGATGGGGTAAAAATAGGTGATCGAGTTGTAGGATAAGCAGCCGATGAATGAAGGCGTATTACTGCTGTGTGATATGTCGCGTGTAGCATAACCCAGCCACAATTGATGGATTTATTGCTTCCTGGTTGAAAAAGCTTCGCCATGTTTCCATAATCCCCAGGCAGATTAAATTTCCATGAAGTGAGCATATTATCCAGTTCTCGATATTCGCCTTGCCATTGTTCAACGTCGGACAAAGCACTGATATCTACTGGCTTCTTCAAGAATTTATGAATTCTTGAGAGAATCCCAAGGATTTCGATATAATACGAGAATGCACCAAGATTCTCTGGTTTGTCAATGTCGTACTCTGTCCTTTCGCTCGTGCGGAACCATCTAGTCTCCACATGCTGGTTTTTATTCCAAAGATCATCTCGACAAGGTAGAGTTCTGTCAACTTCTTTTTCGTCCAGGGCAAATTCAAAAGCTGTGGCAATTGTGGCATATCGATCCAAGAGGTATACCATCCAGAAAAGGCGTCTCCGTGATTCCTCTTCAATCCAATTCTCCGGTTCTGGTAAGACCATTGCTCGAAGTGTATAAATCGAAGGATAGTTTGGCGAGACAGAGAAGGAAGTAGTCTCTACAGCAAGTCCCAATTGAACTACCGAACGTGTAATTAGAGCCAATAGATTCCATCCTGGTGGTCCATTGCTACTACCTACAAGATCCAAAGCCAGAATAACCAGAGCCTGTAGAGCTTTAACCGAGGAATTTTCTAATCCATACAGCAATACCTTCTGTTTAGATATGTCATGATAGTGTCGTCTTCTTTCTTCTGTAAGTCGTTGATCCGTGGAAAACCTCAAGGTAGTGGCTACGATGGCATGTAAAAGTATTTTATCTGCTTCATCTAAAGCAGATGGGCCGAACAATGAATCCAACGTAGATCTTCGATGTAATATTGGACACCAAGTATTGACATACTTAAAGTAGAGATCAACCAATGCATATAGTAAATCATACGGCGGTAAAGCATGATCGGAAGAGACTTCATTTGGGTTTTGGTTTATGTTTAAGCTAGGTGATCGTAGAGGTGGTTGATTCGTACTATAAAAATCTGGTGCTTGACTAGTTGGGATTGAGTGATTTTGTTGCATATCCATGGAAAGGTGCGATCCTTGTGATACAGGGGTGTGCTGATGGAAGATATCGCCGTGAATAGATGGCATCGAGGGAGTTGGAGGCATTGGATTACCAAAATCCATGGGTGTATTTTGTTGTCCAAATGTAGAAGGCTTTTGAAGAAATAGGGCTGTCTCTGCTCTGGCAACATGGCCTCCACGATGATTAGAGAGCCCCTCATTGTGTCTGAAGCTGTGAATACTTTGTGGTGTACCGTGATCGCTCGGAACGCTATTGGCAACACTATTGCTGTTTTGATTAAAGGATGATTCTAAAATTTGAGCATGCGAGCGTAGAATTTCCTCGAGTCGATCCAATCTTTGTTCCAGTTCTCGACCGTAGCCAGCTCTTAAACCGGGTTTCTTGCGCTCTTTGTATTCACATACAGCACCATTGCGACTACACCATCCACATGATGGTTGACCGCGATCACATTTGACCTGTTCAAGTCAGAATACAACCCATCCAATTTTCGAACGAACAATCTGAAGATTTCGGAATTGCATCATCAAAGCCATAGTGAGACACATGGAAGATACATTAGCGTCGGGCACATGTATTGTCAGCAATCTCATGAATGCCGTTGAACCAATGGATACCAGATTGTAGAGATGAATTTGATGAAATTTGATGAAATTTGGATTGAAAAAATGACCTGATACAGACGTACCTTTCTTTGCTTACATAGCTCACACCTTCGACGAAATGTCAGCCAATCATGTCCAACATTTTCCGTATCATTAATTGGGGGATGATCTTCCGATTCCTTGACCGGAAGGGAATTGGCAACAGAGGACTCCTCGTCGTTATTGTTGGTATCCGGATCATTTGAGACATCGGGGACATCAGGGACATCAGGGAGAGGAGAATGAGACATGATTCCTTACGAAACTGACATCGGTCGACGCTGCCTTTTGCGAGGACCGTCTCCATTTGCATCAATGCTATCCTCCTCCCCGCTATAATATTGGTCATTGTCTCCATCACTCTCGGGTTGAGTTGCACCAGAACGTAAAGACGTTCTAGGTGATTGTTGGATATCCATAGCAGCCGATATTTGATTCCGATAACAAAATGATAATATTGATAACCCACCTGTTTCGAATCTCGGTGAAGATGGGAACGAAGAAGAAGGACAAGCTCGGTATTAAATGAGCGAGGAGGTGGAGGTGGGGTTTTGATTTTTTACCAATAGCCAAGTGAATGTGATATACTTTTTGTGGTAAGTCAAGTATGTAAGATTTCCAAGGTCCTAGTGGTAGGTAGGAGTAGGTATGGTGGCATGGAAAAAAGACAAGACGGGGGAAAAAGAAGATGGTGGGCACGTGTCCATGTACGAAGGACTACCTAGGTATTTCTTCGAATATGAGGTTAATGGGATATGGATATGGATATGGAAATGGAAATGGATATGGAAATGGTATGATTATGGTATGATTATGGTTTAGAGTTCATGGTGTATGGAGTATGGAGTATGGAGTATGGAGAAGCGTGTTACTGTCATTACCCGGGAATCCTTGAATTCACGAATCCTTGAAGAGAGAGGGAGAGAGAGAGAGGCATTTGAAAATGGGTTGGTTGAATACGAAGTGCGGACTCTGGAGTATCCAGATACCTAGTAGATAGATACTAGGTAGGTTGTACTGCTCAGATACTCCTCTCTCTCTCTCTCTCTCTCTCTCTCATATGGATACACCCGACACTCACACTCACACTCCTCATTCTCTCTTCGGTCGTCTCGGTGAATCATGCAATTCAATTCAACCATGAAACCATCGTTTCTATGCGAGACTCTGATTGATCAATTCAACATCACACAATAATCAAGAAGACTGCAGACTGCAAACTTTATCGTGTACATACTCCGTAAGTCTTTCAATGCCATCAATTACAAGGGATTGATTGATTGATTGATTCAATGCAACGGCTTGACTCCGAGACTCCCAGGGTTGGAATTGCGTTTTGTGGGGTAACTTTGGGTTAATGCACCTCCCGTCACCCGTCACCAGCTGACTCGTTCATTGATCAATCAATCAATTGGGTTATGGGCAATGGGCAATAGATGATAGATGTTGCATTGCGGACAGATGAGAAATGATTGGCATGTGAGAGAACTTGGTGAGAGTACTTCTACCGAGTACTTCTACCTCTGTACAAAGTACTTGGCCTATCATCAAGTATGGAAGAGAACATCTGTGATAAATATACCAAAATACCGGTAGATAAATTGATATGAGTAATAAAGTAGTATATGGAAGTCATAGTATCTATTTATTTTGCTGGGAATACAAAACACCTTGTACTCGCAAACCCCATTCATCCATACTCGTAGCTCTACAAGAAAAACTTCCAAACTTCCAAACTTCGCAACCTTCATCCTCATCTACAACATCTACAACACACAATGACCCGAAGAAACCACATCACCCACAACAATTGATGTCTCATACGCCAAGAAAGTTCCAATCCTTTAATAGGCCCAGATCTATCTATGCTCGCTCAAAAATTATGAATTCGTCTTTTCATTCCGCTTCAAAAATAGCTCGGTCGATATTCTCCCGGCTCAATTTGGATTGAACAATCCCCCCCGCCAAGGTGTTTCTCATGAAATCTACAAAGTAGCCTCCCTACCCATCAATCATAAGTAGACAATAGTAAAATCCTGACCTTTCTCTTCACTTCCATCTGTTGGTCTTTCTGCTACAGTCAGTACTGTTATTCCTCTCTGCCAAATCACAATGGCTTCTTCATCAGCTCGCAGTTTCCCCTCCATCAAAGCGATCCGAACTTTTGTTGTGGATGGTGTTGGATCTGGAGGTGATTATCACAATGTTAAAGGCGGTCATTGGTAAGTTTGACCGAGATACACCTTGTGACTTGTACTAATTCACATCAGGTTGATTGATACACCAATTTCCACACCCATGTCAAGATGGGAAAACTACAGAGCTTCAAGAACTAGTTGGGGTATCAATGTGCTAGGCTCATTCTGCGTGGAGATAGAAGGTTCAGATGGCACCATTGGATTTGCTACAGGATTTGGAGGTAATTGTTAAGATCTCCTGTCTCGCCGATCAAAACTCACCATATGTTCGCAGGTCCACCAGCATGTTGGTTAGTTCACCAGCATTTCGAAAGATTCCTTATCGGTGCCGATCCAAGAGATACCAATCATCTCTTCGAACAAATGTATCGAGGTTCAATGTTTTATGGTCGAAAGGGTCTTCCCGTTGCTGTCATCTCAGTTATTGATTTAGCAATCTGGGATTTACTCGGAAAGATCAGAGGAGAGCCAGTATACAAGTTGATTGGAGGAGCTACAAGGGAGAGACTAGACTTTTATTGCACAGGACCAGAACCTACTGCCGCAAAGGCCATGGGGTTCTGGGGTGCTAAAGTTCCACTGCCATATTGTCCAGAAGAGGGCCACAAGGGACTCCAAAAGAACGTTGAATTCCTCAGAAAACATAGAGAAAGTGTGGGCCCTGATTTCCCACTTATGGTCGATTGTTACATGAGTCTCAACGTTCCATACACTATTCAAATTGCTGCAGCTTGCAAAGATTTAAACATCAATTGGTGGGAAGAGTGTTTATCTCCAGATGACACTGATGGATTTGCACAAATCAAACAAGCTCATCCACAACTCAAGTTCACCACGGGTGAGCATGAGTACTCGAGATATGGATTTAGAAAACTTATCGAAGGTCGAAACCTCGATATTCTTCAACCCGATGTTATGTGGCTGGGAGGAATGACGGAATTGCTCAAAGTTGCAGCAATGGCAGCCGCTTATGATATCCCGGTGGTACCACATGCAAGTGGACCTTACAGTTACCATTTTGTGGTTTCTCAAACAAATTGTCCATTCCAAGAGTACCTTGCAAATTCACCAGATGGAAAGAGTGTCCTACCTGTCTTCGGAGATTTATTCTTGGATGAACCAATTCCAGTGAAAGGATACCTGGATGTTTCACAACTCGACAAGCCAGGTTTTGGTTTGACCCTCAACCCAGCTGCACGACTTATTCCCGCACAATACCTCTTAACACCAAACCCAGAGAGACCTCTTGGTCAACCAGCAGTTGAGCAAAAGAAGTCTGACAATCAGGGGGTTGTGAATGGAGTGGTGGAAGAAATCAAGAACTTGTCAAGTTCATAGTTTGAATCATAGCCAATTTGTTTTTATTAGCCTTTTAATTTACTTATACAATACAATGCAATTTTATCTATTTCCGTAGGATCATGATCCAAGACTTTTTCGAGTTCCGTTTACAAATTTGCATAAATATGATAATACCTTGTGAGCGGCGAGCACATGTGGACGGCCAACTTGCCCCACGTTTTACATGCCACTTCGGCCTCGGTGGTCTTTAACTCGAGAACCGAATCGCGGGGTCCTTCCACTATTGACAGGGCCTAATTTTTGGAGCTATTGAATCACTTACAATACCACACCAATTTATACTGAAATTATTTTATACTTCTCACATATGACCTACCTATGTACTTTTCGAAGTCACTTTGTATCTACTCTTTACATTACACCAATTGACATACTCTACCATCTTTAAAGAACAACAATCATTTCGTATACTCATCACGAGCTTTATTCCCCAAATACCCCGCCATTTCAGTGAAGAACATAATATTCATTTCATCCTACACATACCTATAGATTCTACACATCTACACCGTTTTAAGCTCTACATCCAAACCATGAGTCTCAAAGGCGTGCACCTTCTCGCCGGCAAAACCGCCGCTATAACCGGTGGAACCACAGGAAGTTCGTTCCCCCAATTGCCCAAAATCCCCTCTCTTACACGCCTCAACTAACACTATTCGTTCTCCTGCAGTCGGTCGTGCAATTGCTCTCCTTTATCTTCGTCAAGGCTGTAATGTAGCAGTCAATCATCTCGGTCTCGACTCCGATATCCCACATCTGGAATCGCTACATGCGGAAGCCAAAGCTCTGGCGCGAGAAAATGAAAAGGCGGGGAAATTATTAGATGTACCAGGAGATGTTAGTAAACCGGAGACGGGGAAGGAATTGGTGGAGAAGGCAGTGGGGAAATGGGGACGATTGGATGTTTTTGTTAGTAATGCGGGAGTTTGTCGGTTTGCAGAGTTCTTGGAGTGAGTTTTTATTTATTTATTTATTTGTTTGTTTGGGAGTATTTAGGAGGAGATGAGAAGGAGAAAAAGTGAAGAAAAAGAAATTGACAAATCAAATAGACTAGAACCCGATCTCTTTTCCCACACCGTCCGCACCAATCTCGACGGCGCCTTCTACACCTCCCAAGCCGCCGCCCGTCAAATGTCCTCTCAATCTCCTCCCGGTGGCTCCATCATCGCCATCTCCTCCATTTCCGCTCTCGTAGGCGGCGCACAACAAACCCATTATACACCCACCAAAGCCGGTGTTCTATCACTCATGCAAAGTATGGCGTGTGCGCTGGGTAAACACGGTATTAGATGTAATGCACTCCTACCCGGAACGATCAGGACGCAGTTGAATGAGGAGGATTTGAAAGATGAGGAGAAGAGGAAATATATGGAAGGAAGGATTCCGTTGGGGAGAACGGGGGTTCCGGGAGATTTGGCGGGGCCGGCGGTATTTTTGGCAAGCGAGGAATTGAGTGGGTATGTGAATGGGAGTGGACTTTTGGTGGATGGGGGACTGTTTGTTAATTTGCAGTGAGGGGGTGTGAGGAGGGGGGAAAGAATGTACATAGATAGATTAGATACTCGGAGTCGGATCGATTCTCGAAAGGTCGAGAAACTCTTGTATCTCACAGTATTGGATATGGTATGCATTTCTCGCCGAGGTGAAAAGTTTGACGTCTTTCGGGTATTAAACACTCTTGTTTCTTCTCGGCATACTGAATAAATGCTCGTTTCACAACTATGTATATACAAGTGTCGAAATTTTCAATAGGACAAAGTTGAACGTTCGCTAAGCTCCTAGGCAAATATGGATTACAGGAGGAAGATTTGAAGTTCATCGATTGGGAGATCAATGAGTTCGCTTCCGGTGGTTGTTTTAAGAATCTTTCTAATCAACTTAGCTATCAGATTTCTCCTGCAGTACGAGATTTTTTTACGCGAGGGAAAGCATATTAGCATGTTATTGCGGGCTTTATCATTTCGTTCCTTGTAGATACTAGAGAGATTGTGATGGATGTCTATACTAGCGTACTGAGGCGTGTTTGGTTGATTGGGTTCGGGTTTTTGGGATCACTTTTTTGATTGTGTTTTTGGAGAGGGAGATCAGGTTGAGGAGTGAGTTGGATACGGAGTGTGGTCTCGCGGATAGAATTAAAGAAAATTCGGCAGGTGATGTTGATGATGGAGATGAGAACTAGGCCGTTATGCCAACTGCAGAGACAGAAAAAAGTTCTGTTGCCGATGAAGAGCGGTGAAAATAATGTCGCCCATCATGTTAATGGAACTTTTGGTAAGGCAACTGTTGAAGTCTAGTTCAGATACTTGAGCTGTATCATTGAAAAACTCTATAGACTAATTATAGGAGAAAAGAGAAAAAAATATGCGAGCTCCTTTTGTGCTTTAGATTATTTTTATGAGCCAAATAGAGCTACCTTTTTGGTGAGCACGAAATAATTCAAACGTGTTTTCATTCAATGGACCTCTTCTACCAAATCTCCTGCACCACGTGCTTCTAGCGTTTCTTGAATACGCTGACGTGGGAGCCATCGTTCAGCCGGAGCAACCCACCAAGAAATCAACGCCAAGATAGTTGTCGCAGCCATGATCACAGGTGCATAGTTGAGTGTATCTGCTTCTACAGGCCAAACATACGGCGAGTATAAAATAGCCACTACCCACGCATTCCAAAGCACGGCAATCGCCTGAAACGGCTTACTAAGTCTACCTAGACTCCAAGCCGGTTTTGGAAAGGTCTTGGGCGTGCAGAAAAGACGTCCGAGACAAATGAGATTGTAGGTAGCTGCTGATGGTACTCCAGCAGCAGAAACGAGAGAGATAAAGGCTATACTGGAAGGTAGGATGGTACAAGTTATGATAGCTGATACGCCCCAGACCACGAGAACTGCGTTTCGGGGTTGGCCATTGACGATTTTGAATACCCAGTTAGAAAAAGACAAGACGCCATCGCGAGCGACAGCAAATACTAAGCGAGATGCTGCTAACACTGCAATGGCAGTATTGAACCAAAGGGCAACGATACAGATGACGTTCATGAAGATGTGCTCGCCATCTCCGAGGATCACAGCACACAGTGGAACGAATGGCTGTGGACCACCAAAGGAAAAAAATGTATCGGCGTCAGGCTATGGAAATATCAGAATCATCTAGTCATACTGAAAGAATAGTGGAGATACATACCACGCAAAAGAGAAAAAGAATCACAACAGCGAACCTTGGAACCCACCAATACCACTACTAATCGTGCTCCAAAATATACCACGTGCAGCTGTGACTGCTGTATTTTTCGTCTCCTCAGCTACATGACCCGAAGCATCAAAACCGATCAATATTCCTGCCGTGGCTAAAAATGAAAGACACCAATTCCATGCTTCCGGAGCACCTGTTCCGTTATAGGTAGTCATAAACGCATTATGAGGAGATCTAAATCCGATTGTCCGCGCCGTTGCGAGAGGTAGCCAAATGATGTTCAAGAGGAAATCGAGGATAACGAATCAAGTCGATAATATCCATTTGAAGTAACGAGCTTTTTTATTTTTTTATCAGACTTTACTATGTGATTTGATTGTTGCATCGGGTAATTACGTACGAGGTAGGAGATTCCATGTTGTGGCTAAGGCTAACATGATCTCGGTTGTGATCCATTGCAGCGCGTGAAACTGACGTCGGAACTCTCGGATGGGAAGTCTATGTTGAATACTACGATTTCCTGGGAAGAGATCAGATTTGTAGATTAGCAGAGGGGTTTTCTACTCTTACAGAGAGCAAATAGTTGACCGCACCCTGAGTGTTACCTACGTAACCCGATTAGCAGGGACGTACAAGAGTCGACTAGCTAGTTCACTTACTCGCGCAGAAGGTTGTCCAAGCAGTTGTGCTCCACCACGCGACCACAAAGCCAAACAGTCGACCCAAGCGAGGGCCGCCAGCTTCGGTCGCTCATAGATAAATGGATCCGGTAAGTGCTAACGATGAGCATATCTCTGCGATGACAGCCGCAGTGATGAAGGTGAAAACACAGCTGGTGATGAAACTTGTCCAGTAGACTCGATTGCCGCCCGCGGCTATACCGGTCGAAAAGGTAACACGAACACCGCCGACGAAGTAAAGAGCGGCTTTTGGAGGTGTGAGTAGTCTGAGTATTTAGATGGCGGGATGGATTAGAGATACACACCGAATGAGGTTGAAAAGTTGTGGAAGAAACTGAGGATCGATGGAGAACCTAGAATACTGGTTTAGTTTGATGGTATAGAGACACATCACCAATCACGTTTTCCTACAGGTTTGTAGCCGAGATTTTCCTGTTTCGCGATTAGCTTTGTGATGGGGATCAGAGGAGGTGCGGTTCACCAAGACGATAGCATCTTCGGTATTACTACTAGGTTCTCCTGTATTATCCACCAGGCCTGTGTCGATAGACTCCTCGATAGATATATGTTTCCCCATCGTGTAAACTCTCAGAAATCTCGATTCCGTGCCTCAGACTGCGCCAAAGTGACTGTATCTCAATGATGTGTCGTCTCAATTAGACTGCGACTGTTTATTGTATAGTTGGATAACAGCTGCGGGAAATCATTGATACGAGTGTAGTCTGCAATTGATGGGTTTGAGTATTTTCACAGTCAAGCTCGTATATTCACCGGTTATTACTAGCAAGCCTCAATAGCACGTCATTGTGCCCTCGTAATTGTGCTATGGGTGGTTCTCGCTCATAGCCTCAATCTGACTAAGATAAATACATCCCACCTTTCGCCATTTTATAAACTGCACTCGACAGAGACATCTCCCGTTCTTGATGGATCACTTAATCATTTTGAGAGTGTGGAAGCGTTTCGTGCATTAGAGTAACCGCTGTTGAAAATCGGCACACATCGCTTATTTGGTGGCAGGGATGATATGACGGCATGTGAGAAGAAAATGTGTTGATCGTGATGGTGGATCCTCGAGATACATGATCTAGTATTCTTCCCCATACTTTCTTGCACATGGCACTCGCGAGATATGCCGCAGTGACTTTAGAGAGTCCAGTCAGATGAGTTGCGCTTTACGTCTAGATTATCCAGGAGATGAACCAATAAAATTTCAATCGCTTGTATCCTTGATGACTTGCGCTCCTTATCTGCTAATATGGACTGGACGGGACTGAGAATCTAGCTGAAAGCATAAATTCTCCCGAAGCTACATCAATCACGCAACTACCGGTCTCGACAATGTGATACCATCCCCACTACTAGTACGGAGTGCGGCGCCTAGGTGCAGACGCGGCTTCTCTTAACAAAATCTCATGGGTATTTGTGATTCTTCACATCTGATGTCGCTCCCTCTGAGCTTTTTGAAACGAGATCAGAATACTTGGGACGAGCAATGATGCCGCTCTCTCTCCTTGCTGAATGCACGGCATTCATCCTTGCCGCACTTTGCCTCATCGTAAGTTACACAATTTTCGTCCCTGTGATAGCTTTGCAATGCCTAAACTCGAAATTAGAGAATCGTTCGCGAATACTTCTCGCCGTTATCATCTATTCCCAGTGCAGGAGTAGGTGCAGCGTACTCTCGCCTGTTATGGGCTTTCCCCACAGAATTCAGAGGACGCATAACCTTGGATCTGCCCAAACTTCATGAGAAGCTCGGTATGCTGAAGCATAATAGTTTGGACAGATCATATGAATGACATTTTCATAGGTCCTCTGGTTCGTATCAGCCCAAATGAAGTTTCATTTTACTCCATGGAAATGTATGATGCCGTTCACAAGGTGAATAGCAGATTCAAGAAAGATCCGCGGGTGTATGGAGAGTTTGTACAAGGGGGCAGTCCTGCTTTGTTCTCAATAACGTATGGTTCTTTTGAACTCAATGACCGGGTATCAACTAATCTTCTCAGTGACCCCGTGGAACATTCGAAACGTAGAAGACTCATGGGTCAATTGTTTAACCGCAGCCAAATGTATAAATTAAAAGGACTGATGCTGCATCATATCGATCAGTTTGTGCAAACTGTTGCATCAAGTAGAGATAGGGTGAAATTGTTGCCAGTATGTCGCGCACTCGAAGCGGATATTATGTGTATTACTGCCTGTGGAAGTCTTTTGGTGAAAACATGCTGATGGAAACTTTCTAGCCCATTTCTCATTTGGTCATACGATCGGTGCTCTAGATGCATACTTTCAAGGAGCTAAACTTGATATGATAGCAAAAAATGATGAAAAAGCGACTTGGATGCCTCTGGTAAGCTCGAGTCAAGCCAGCCCAACAAGTTCTCATACTAAATTTTCGGATAGCTGACTAGTTTTCCGGGTTTGTGCAATATGTGGGAATGGGTGGAGCAAATTGTTTCCTCGAAAACAGGCTACAGGACTCCATACAACAAAGCAATGCACGATTTTCATCAGGTAAGTATTCTTCCATGGATAAGATCCAGTCTACTAACTTCTATTAGTGGGCGGAGAGAAGTTGGCGCACAACGCTTTCAGACAACGCAAATCAGAAAAAAACCGACCTCCCCCTTCCCAAATTTGGTCCAGACCATGATCAATTCAAACCTACCTTCTTCCACAGCTTTGTCAGAAGCGACAGAAAATTTGGGTCCAGGTACCGATACAACCTCAGCAACTTTAGCTCACATTTTGTGGACTTTAAGAAGTAATCCTGATTTTCAAGAAGAGCTGTTCCAGGACCTTGCCGCGGTGAGTTTTCCCACGGATATGACAACCTTAGAGGGTATACCCAGGTTTTGGGCGTGTAAAAAAGAAGGTATTAGATGGACCGGTGCAGCTGCCGCCATGCTTCCTCGTCTTGTACCTGAGGGCGGAGCAGAATTCTATGGCAACTTTTTACCGGAAAATGTGAGTACTCTTGCTTTCCTTTCTTGCTGATAAGTTCTCAATATACGCTAACCCAGGTTTCTGTTGTAGACAGTAATCAGCTCATCGCCAATTTGGTATCTTCGCGACTCAGTCGCATTTCCAAGGCCAAAAGAATTTGATCCGTACCGATGGCTTACATCTGATGGGCAGAAGATTAGAGATGATCCTCTACGGGATAAGTTCTACATACCATTCTCCAAGGGTGCAAATATTTGTATGGGCGCACAGTAAGTCTATCGCTCTTCGTTTGATACCGCCTGAATTGGAGACTTACATAAATTTGTTACAAAGCTTTGCATATCTAGAACTGTTCCTATCGATTTCCCAAATAATCCGCAACTTTCGCGTACACATGCATCCTTTACCTCATCATCGATCATATTCGGATGAAGAGAAAAGGTCTAGCCCTGGAGTATTCCGGCATGTCGAATTACCAAATCGAAGAGAGTGGGTTGCAGCTGTACCTACTGAACGTTTGATGGTAGCGCTTGAACCAAGGTTATAAATTTAAGCTAGACTTACAGAGCCGGTCTTGGGCATGTGATCCTTCATAGAGGAAGAGCCTATTATTCTGCTACGACTGGCACCCTAATCGTAGGAGACAGAAGATGTCTACTATATTTAATTTAAGATCAAAATTGTCTTAATATGGTGTGTATATTTGGCCCCTCATGCAGTCATTCTCAGTCTATACTTGTGGAGATGCCCTAGATTATTGCTAACATTACCTTGATTATTTATGAAGAAGTAAATAACTACCGATTTAATAAACGCTTTCTTCCTCTTTTCTCCGTATTTATTGTGAGCGTGAGTTGATATATGTGGGTATTTCAAGTTGAGCGAAATTCAGAGGGGGTGCGCGTGAGCTGTTAGGGTCTTCTTTAGTAGTGCCGTAATTTTTGTTTCATCAGTGGATTTCGTTCCAGGGTCAATACAGTGCCGCGTAACGGAACAATTTTATTTGGGACTCTCGCAGGATTACTTCCGATTGTAAGTAAATGCGCCACATCGATGCGGCAAAGCACAGCACGGTACGGCGCGGTGTGAGATCTAATAGTAACACATGCGAAGCTGGCTCCGTTCTGTTCTAATTTTCAACCACTAACGATAATCATGATATCATGTGGAATGATCATCAATCTCTACCAATACACTTCGTGTACTCTAGTTCTACATCTGTGCCTGAATGTTCGTCCACATTTTCTCCATGGCCTCGGCTACGTTCGAAGGCAGAGGCCCCTTCGCAATATCAGCAGCGTTAAGAGAGATTTGCGCTGGGTTGCTAGCTCCTAGTATCACACCATCACCTTCCTGGAGAGCTGAATGGTAGTAAATCCATCTCAGGGCCGCTTCTGAGGGAGTGATGTCGTAGGGCTGAAGTAAAGCAATAAATTCCTTCATGGTCGAGTGTGTAGGTTCATTGTCATACCTTCTCTTGAAGAAATCTCCCTTTGGATTACCATCCTCGAATCGAGTTCCAGTGACGTCTGTGCCCAATGTGAATATTCCCGTCAAAAACCCTCCTGCAAGCGGACTACATTGTTCAAGACATGTCAGTTAACCGGATATATTATGAAATCTGGAGTGCCTTGTACCTATGAGCAATATATGATATCTTTTGCTGGCATAAGATCGGAAGGAGTTGCGTTTCTGCTTCACGGCAAAGTGCATTGTATTGTCCTTGGTAGTAACTAGGCTTCGGGTAGCCTTCTTTTTCACATGCTTCAAGAAGCTCTTGGAGTTGTGCGACAGAAAAGTTGGATATTCCAAGCTATCTTGTGTTAGCTATTGTTTGAGGTCTAGGTGGTCTAGGGTAGCCCAACTTTCTGGAACTTATTCTGCTGATGAAGTTCATGGAGAGCAGCAAGCGTTTCGTTGATCGGGGTTGATGCATCGGGCATGTGGCAATACAATACATTGATCTAATATGATTGAGTGGGTGAGTATATTGCGGGCTATGGTGAATGATTGACGGAAAAAACAGGGCTTTTACCTTTGCCTTAATACGAGACAAACTTTCCGCAACACTTTCATTGATTGCCGATGCCGTCAATGAGCCCTTACCAGAGAAATCCGCAAGCTTGATCTTAGTATCGATAGCAAAGCTATGATGGGCATGGTTTTCACCAAGAAGCTGTTCCGACTTTCCATGCGAGCTAAGAGGGTAAATGGCTGCAGTATCGATGTGTCCAATTTTCAAGGTGACCAAAAGAGCCAGTAGCTGTTGAACTTCTTCTGCTGTTGCAAAAAGACCTTATCCAAAAGAAGCGCCACCAAAAAGAGTAAAAGGTGGTGTACCTGGCATGTTTAATATTATAATGGAGTGGGAAAAAAGAGAGATTTTGAAGATGGCAATTGGAGAGCAAAAGTAGTAGGATTAGATTATTTGTAGAAATTGGTCTACATAAGTAGCCAGTTCTGACTATGATCCGTGTGGACACCACGATGTCATTAATCATCAGCTAGGCTCGTGCAGTCGACATAAGGCGTTGTAATTTACAACTGTTAGAAGCATTTGCTAGGTGCTGGAAGTAGTAACACTTGCTACTAATTTCTACGCTAGTATAGAACTCCTAGCCTTTGCTCAATGTCTCCATAGTACTATCAAGCACTTGATCCACCTCCAACAACTATCTTACCAACATGTTTGAGCAAAGTCATGAGCATATGGTTTAATCTGTAGTTGTAGCCCACAGAACTTATGTAATTTATCGGAACACTAGATCCGTATACAGGGAGTAGAACATCCATGAATGGATTAGAGTGTGGATGAAAGTCCGATTGTATCCGTACTGCATAGGCCAATCTTTCAATACCTGGATACTGTGAAGTCAAATTTGATTCAAGTAGAATGGAGTTTTGAACCCAATCGATCTTGGACGAGATTAGAAACCTTCGCAGCAACAAGTTCAACTTAGTATTGGCCAATACCACCAACGCTCAGAGCGTCTTCTCGCTGATGTGCTTTCAACTAGCAATCAACACACAAGAGTTACTCATTCCAATTCGACGCAGGAACTTAGCTCCCTGATCCCTCCCGTCAGAGGAGAGCTCGCATCTGCCCCCAAGAAAGGGTTTCTTTGTTGTGACAATTAATGGAAAACCACTGAGATCTGTAAAGTTCTCAGACATATTGTTTTCCGGACATCTGCTCGAGTATTTGGTGGTCCAGATCTTTGCTGTAATGGGAATTGGCTCTATGCCATGATGCTTCTTCAATCAGAGATATACCATGTTCAGCGGCCATGTATACGCAGTATACTGGATATATGTCGTATACTGTGGCTGTAAAGTATAGATTGTGATGTAGGATTTTTCACTAGCAGAAATTCAATATTCAGTCACGTGCAGATGTGTATTATTGCATCACATTCCTCCAATTTATGGGAATAACAAACGAGAGAGTAGCTACCAGTAGTAGCCATACCATTCATTGCCTAGCAACGTAGGTAGGCAATGTGGGATAGGTACCGACCCATATTGAGTGAATATTGCAAGGCTATGTACGCTTGAACCGTAGAACCGTACCTTTCTGTCATTGGAGTAAAGACCTAATTTGATACAATGATTTTATACAAGTACCTAGGTAATTGCACGGCACTCATCCGTTGATTGGATTCGATTTGACCGTTCCAGGTCGTTGTAGTTGTTGCAGTAGTATGGAAACGTAAGCAGATTGAATGCCTCAGGAATCAAACAAATCAAATTTCTCTTCTGCCGCTAAACATCGCGCTGTACGGACATCAATTTATTACATAGTCGCCAATTTCTTCACAACTCGAGTCTCTTCTATTCTATCCCCATTCTATTCACAATTATTTCGACAATCACGATAAAAACGCGACATCTCAATTTTCAAATCAATATTAGATTTGAAGAATAATGCATACTTAGATAAATTACTCCAAGTCTTTGCAGTCGATCCCACATTTTTCGCATGCGACATCCCTAAATACCCAATACTCATTTGATGACAACTTCTTCATCTCGAGTTTGCGCATCATTCTGACAACAATTCCAACAATCTTGTTTCCCTGGCGATTCAAGATTTATCGACTCGATCCGAGAGGACGCGACAATCATTGTAATCATTGATCCTCGGTCCTGTCGATCACCAAGTCGCGTCATCTAAATTCTCAGCCTTACCTTCGCGATGAATTCACCGCAACAAGCAAATGCTGCTCAGCTGGCAGCACGCAGCATCAAAGCGAAACCTAGAGGCAGATTGGCAGGCCAAAAAAGTAGCGGCTTCCCACCCTTACAAAACAACAACCCTAATAATAATGCTGCCGTTGGCAGTGGAAGCGGTGGTGGTCTGTTTGGTGGAAGTGTAGCTGCGCCCGGTTCATTCAACTTTTCAGCGCCGGCTGGAACACCATCTTTCAGTCCTTCATTTGGAGACTCGACGCCAAATCCGTTCGCACAATCCGCTGCATCAACCAACCACGATGACCCACGTGCAGATACAACAGGTGAAGAAGCTCTAAGAAAAAGCAAGGTATTCAGCGGTGGCTTCAGAGCAGCTGGTGAAGATGAGGAAGCCTTATTTGCTTCGCACTCTCCATTCCATCATAATAATCAACAACAGCAATCAAATACTTTAGGTTCTTCCAATAATACACAACCACAAAATATGTTCGGTGCAACAAACGCGACGCAGTCGAACGCAGGTGGATTCCAGTTTGGATCTTCAACTTCGCAGAATCAAACATCAACTTCAGGTTTCGGTGGCTTCAATTTTACACCTACATCTCAAGCGGCAGATAACAATAGTAGTTCTACTTTTGCCTTTGGTTCCTCGTCACAAGCTCCACCTGCAGTGAATAATAGCACCCCAGCCTTCAATTTTGGCGCGACAAATTCAGGTCCGGCAGAAAATTCTTTGAATTTTGGTGCAAATTCACTTTCAAAGGCACCAAATCCTCTCACCCTTGAAAATCAAAAAGCAAGTAATGTTTATTCTGATCCATCTCAAATTCTCTTTGGTTCCAATAACTCCCCAACAACCTTTTCTAATTACCAACCGGCAACTCAACCTTTGACCAACAGTTCTTTCATTCAAACGAAGACGCCGGAAACATGTTTGGCAACCACAAAGTCGAGTATCCTCTAGAAGCTGGGCAAGCGCCGGTACAACCTTCTCAAATTCAACATCCAATGGGCCAACTAGGATTGTCCGCCGACTTTAATTATCGTGGAAGTTTCTCAGCCAGACCAACGGAGTCCCTCTTTGGCAATGGCCATATGCTTACGGACTATCGTGCTAACCAAAATCAATTGTACAGGAAATTCGAGTACCTCATTCGGACAGAACAATACCAACAATTCTTTTGGTGCGCAAAATAACTCATTTGGCGGTTCCTTTGGTGGTGGCTTCGGTAATCAAGCCAATACGAGTTTTACTGGTCTCAGTTCTACCAATGCTACACCTTCAAGCTCTCAGAGCTTGTTCGGCAACACTACTGCAACCACATCTGCTCCGTCTTCCTCTTTCACCTCATCCTTCCCTGCAACTTCAGCTGCTCCAAGCACCACGAATTTGTTTGGAAGCACTTCTGCCTCATTCCCCACTACATCAGCACCAACCACTACCAATTTGTTTGGCAGTGTTAACTCGTCATTTCCTCCTGCGACTGCTTCGAGCACTCCACTTTTTGGTGCTGCTAAGCCTGCCGAGGCTACCCCAACTGCTTCGAGCAACTCATTTTTCGGTAGTGTCAAACCTGCAGAGTCGACGCCATCTACTTCAAGCACTTCCTTCTTCGGTAGTGTCAAACCTGCCGAGTCAGCTCCAACAGCTCCAAGCAACTCATTGTTTGGTAGCCCTAAGCCTGCTGAGTCAACTGTGTCAACTTCAAGTAATTCACTGTTTGGTGGGTTCAAGCCTACTGATTCGACTCCAACTTCTTCAAGCACGTCGAATATCTTCGGCAAACCCCCAGCAACGCCTGCCTCTTCAACACCTTTCACCGGCTTTGGCAAACAAGCAGAATCAACTCCAAATCTGTTCAACCCTGATAACCAGATCAATGGCCAAAGCAACAATCTATTTGGATCAAAATCTGCAGAAGAGCCAAAAGACAAGCAAACTCTTGATCTGTTCAGTCCGAACAGACTAGCCGGCCAACAACTGTTCGAGTCAAATGCAACGAACAGTTCGCCAGAGAAGGCATCTGCCCAGACCCCAAATGCTCTCTTCGCAAGCTTTGGCAAGTCAAATTCTTCAACAGAACATCAACTGGGTGGTGCAGTCAAAGAACAAGCTGTAAGTTTCTTTCCTGATTCGTCGAATGATGAAGCACATCAAGCTAACATTCCACAGTCCGCTGCTCCATCCACCAGCCAATCTGAATCTTCATTCAAGATTCGCGGTACTGCTGAGGCGTCTAGTTTCAACAAAGCTTCTTCTCCTTTCAAATCAGTTGACACCCCAACAGACGCAGCACAACCCATTACAAGCAACCTGTTCGGTGGCTTCTCTTCTAAAACACAAGATTCTCAGCCCTCTAACGGATCTTTGAGCAACGGCTCCGATTCATATTCAATGGCTCTCACTGCTCCTACAGACTCATCTTCGCAATCTCCACCATCCAATAGCAAAGCACTTGCTCCGGTTAAGAGAGCACTTGCTCCTGGTAGATTGTCCGATTTTGAGTTCCAAGTTTCTGAACCCACAGACATGGAGATGGATACCAATATGCCTGTTAACTTCAACACGATCCAAAGAAGAGAATTCAAGGCCCTTTGGCGCATTGCATCTGTGCAAAGATCAATGGCAGCTTACTTCCAGCATTTGCCTCCTGGGGCAGACCCATCTAAAGGATTAGCATGGATGGAAGCCAAAAAGAGAGAGATTCTTGCAGAATATAACATTGATCATATTTCCAACAAGCGAGACAGGGCAGCGGCTGATCTTGGGAATGATGAGAATCAAGAAAACATGAGCCCTCAAAAGCGAGTTAGACAAGATAGAGAACGCTCACATCGTATTCCCAGCCCAGAAAAGCGATCGCGAAGTACTCGTAGTCCAGAAAGACAACGCTCACGTGCGACACATGATTCCGAGTCTGAGATCAATGGCAATTCGGTATTGAAAGCACCAAAACTTCAGCCTGGCCGTTCATCCAGTCCAAGTAAATCGCCTTCGAGAAGTGCAGCTCCAGAACCAACTCCAAGTAAGAAGAGAAGAAGTGAAACTCAATCGGAAATTGGTGGAGAAAGTAGCGGACACAAGAAGAGAAGACCTGAACAGTCGAATAACAACGAAGGAATTGACAGTGGTAACAGCAAGAAGAACGAGGAAGTTGACACTGGTAGCAGCAAGAAGAGAAGAGCTGAGGTTTACTTGACTCAAAATGATCCTGAAGGTATTGAAGATGGCAAGAACAGTAACAAGAAAACTTTAAACGGTTCTAGTTCAAGCACTTCTAACATGTTCAAGAACATTTTGGACAACCCAGATAAATCAACAAGATCGGTCAGCCCAGAGAGAAAGACCCGGGCATTGCCTGGAGCTACTAAGGAAGCTGCATCAGTACCAACAGCAGCACCTATTACAAATCCATTTGGAAATTTGGCAGGTGCTTCTCCCATCAAGTCGAATACCGCTGCAACCTCTACTACGCCAAGCAAGCCTCCAGTCTTCACTTTCGCACCTACATCTACCACGCCTACTACCCCCCCAACCAAACCACCTACATTTACTGGTACTAGCGGTATTAAACCACCTACCTTTGCCGGCGCTCCTACTGGTGGTATCAAGCCACCAACTTTTGGCAGTGCACCCGTCAATTTCATGGCTCAATTTGGAAAAAAGGCTGTTGAATATGCTGAAGATAACGAAAAGATTTTGATGCAAAAAGCTAAGGATGAAGATTTTGATTCTGAGGACGACGACGAGGCTGAGTGGGAGGCTAAGTACAAGGAGAAGAGAGCTGCGGAGCTTAAAGAATTGGAAGAGCTTGCAAAGGCCAAGGCTCCTTCTTTCCTCGTCAAATCGACCGACACCCCAAAAGCCACCGAGCCAAAAGAGACTGTAAAACCAGCGGCTACAAACATGTTCGGATCAGTCGCCCCCACTACTTCTACCACATTATTCGGACAAGCTAAACCTGCTACCGGCGCTGCTGAGAGTATTTTCAATTCGGCAAAAACCTCGAGAGCATCAACTCCTAACTTGTTCTCGAGCACTGGATCCGTCCTTGATGGCGCTGCAAGTGCTCCAGGAAAGACCCCTTCATTTTCTGGTAACCCATTTGCGCATCTTTCTGATGCAGAATCCAAGAATCAGAACGATGAGGACGATGGAAGTTCTGATGGCGGTTCTAACAGCGACGGAGAGGGTGAAAAGAAAGATCCAAGTTACCAACCAAAGCCAAGCAAGACCAATACAAGTACACCTGGTACTCCAGTTGATGAGAACGGCTCTAGCATTTTCTCAAAAAAAGCACCCACTGAACCACCAACGTTCAATTTGATTGGCTCGGCTGCCAAGACTGATGCAGCCAAACCCACCCCTGGTACTGGTGGAAGTCTTTCTAGTCGTATGAGTTTTGGTGCTGCTCCAGAAGAGAAAGACGATCTGGCACCAAAGCCAGCTACAAATATATTCGGTAACTCTTTTGGCGCAACTTCTAGCACTCCCGAAGATAAAACCTGGAAGCCAAATACACCAATTAAATTTGGTAGTGATGCACCATCTGCGCCAGTTTTCAACTTCACTAGTGCTACACCATCCTCCTCTACCCCAACTAAGCCAACAACTAACCCATCGGGGGGATTGTTTGGTAGTTCTGGAACTTCGGCTTCTACTCTCTTTGGTGGATCTACCACTACTACAGGATTCCAGTTCGGCGGTCCACCATCTGCTCCAGCTTCTTCATTCCCTTCAGCAGATGCATCTCGGGCCAATTCACCTGGTGCGACTACCGATGGCGCTGATGACAACGATCCCGAAAAGGTTCATGCTCAGGTGAACCTTTTGGAGTCTAGTCCAGGCGAAGAACATGAAGACGCTGTCTACTCTGTTCGAACTAGAGCTTTGAAGTTCAATCCAGCAAAGGCCGGTGAAGAAAAATCTAGTCCATGGGATACCAAAGGTGTTGGACCATTGAAAGTGCTTTGCCATAAAGAGACGAAGGCTACTAGAATTGTTTTGCGAAGCGACCCATCAGGATCTATCATCATCAATAGATCACTTCTTTCGCAATTCAAATATGAGGCCAGTGGCAAGACTGTCAAGCTTAATACAGTCGGTGATGATGGAAAGTTGGAAACATGGGTCCTTCAACTCAAAAATGTTGAATTGGCGGAAGAATTTGCCAAGTCGTTGGAGGAAAACAAGATCAACAACAAGTAAGGGTCACTTATATCACTTTATATCATGCTTTTTTCAGCGGGAAACGATAACATGTTCATGGAAATAATTTGGGCGTTTGTATTGCATAGCGCGGAATGGGAAAAAGAAGATTACGATTGTACTTGTATTGCGACTTTGATTGTGTTTTTACCTTTTTTCTTTCAAGATTCTCAATGTTAATGGAGATGGAAGGAGGAGTATTTTATGAGCATACTATTCAGTGGCTCCAGCCTATTCGAATTGCTTTACACATTTTCGTACAATAGATAACATCACTTTGTGGGTGGGGAACTACGACTGTGGGATTTTGATAAGGGTTGTATATTGATTGGGCTGTGACCCCTTCTCTTTTCAAAATTTCCATGGGGCATATAGAACCTTGATATTGATGAATGTGTGGTTTAGGAACTCGAATCTGGTCGGAAAGGATTGTAGATAGTATAGGGTCATCCTTCAGTACATTTGTACGAGCATATAACGAAAACATTAAAAATTATTTGTTCATTGCGTTTGTTGGTGTATGTGTGAGATGGTTGTTTTCAATTCGGTATGAACGTGATAGGTATATGGTCTACAATTACTCCCTCCAGGGAACTTCTCTCCGTCCCTTAAGATTGGAGAAAATGATAATACAACTTGATGAGTGTGTTTGCCAAAATAGAGGCTTATATTGAAGTTTCAGCTCGAGGTAGGTCCTGGAAATCTCTCACTGGTTTCAATAATTTGTTTTCCCTTTGCTTTTTTTTTTAACACCTAGATAACTTCTTGTCCTCCACCATCAAATCTTTTGTGGGCACCACTTCCTAGGACTATCCTGTTACACTTTTGTCTTTAAGTGATTCCGTTATCTTTTTTACTGTATTTTTCATATCAAGGAGCATAAGCTCCGTACTTACTAGGTATCTAACTCACAGAAATATCAAAGCACCACCACGACTAATAAGTTCTCAACATCGCGTGGGGGCATAACCGATATCCCTACATTGTGTACGTCCCTGTATCGTGCACATTTTTAAACTCACTCTACAACAACTTCAATATTTAATAATAAATATATTCAATAAGATATAAAGCTATAAGTTGTCTAAGAGTATAATAAGATATAATAAATTAGAAAAGAAGATTTAAAACTTCCTTATTTAAACCTTGTAGGAATCTTGATCTGTTGGTCTTGTTTCGACTGTATAACCCCTTCCCCTTCTTTTATTATTGATTCATCCATTACTATTATATTAGAGGGCTCTATAGTTTTCTTAGATATTAGATCTATAGTATATAAACCTTTTTGAAGCTTTAAATCTCTTTTAATAAAAGATCCTATTGATTTACAAGCTCTTTTAATCTCCTCTTTAATATCTCTTATAAATTGATAATCCATCTCTCTTTATACTACTCTCTCTTTAGCTTCAATCACCTCTTTTTCTTTTTTAGCTTTCTTATTAGCCTTCTCCTGTATCTTAGCTTCCTTTTTCTACTTTATAGTAAGTGTTTTCTCTAATTAAAAAATCTTAACTTTTTCAATTTGAAAAGGGGAATATAAAAAAGCATTATTAATCTTTTTTCCTATAAGGTTTAAATATTTAGAATAAATCCTTTTTTTCTTTTCTATTTTTAGAATCTCTTTTAGACTTTTTGCTTTATATAATTGAATATTAGTTTTAGTTGTATTAACAAAGGCAGTTTTAAAAAGCTTCAAAGTGATTTCGAGGTTTTGATTTTATCGAAATTCTAATTTAAATCGATATAGAGCTTTTGATATATATAATGTTTTAAATTTATTTTTTATAAGCTATATTGATATAGATAATGTAATAGCTTTTCTAGCTTTATATTAAATATAGTAGCCTTCTTGTTAAGTAAATAAATACCTGCTTTTTTGAAGGATTATTGTCAAGGTACGGGTAAAGACTTATATTATACCATAAGGGTAGAAGAGCTATGGAAGAGTGAAGCCCTATTTATAGAAAGTAAGGCACGCTAGTATACTGTATCTGAAGCACGAAGGCAACTACAGATTATGTAATTAGCGCCGTAACAGTACCCCCCGCTCAAGGCAATCGGTTCACGATTATAATATTAATTGACCTTTTAGAAAACAAAATAATATTAAAATACTCTAATTTCTATTATTAAATTAAAATAAACTTTCTTGAAAATAATAATCAATTACTAAAGCTTTTTAGATCTGCTTTGACCTCAATTCGGGAATATACTTAATGTAAATACTAACAAGAGATCAGGAGTAGTAAATCTTTGAAGCCTACCTAAGCGGGTGGTTCTAGCTTATCTGGATTTGCTAAATGGAAAGCGATGATTGTGTCTTTCTAGCCGCAAAGGTCTTCAGCGGGTTACCAAAATGCTGAATAATATTTCCATTTGATTTGATAGTGAAATCCATCCTCATTATAACAATCAAATAGTTTATCGAATTCCTACCACTTGATTTCCTTATTCGTTTCGTCATTTCTTTCTAGGATACAGCCTTAGTTTCAACGGGATTCGGTTTCGTTAATCACTTCTTGACCAGCTAATCCAAATAAACAATAAAATAATCAAAATAATAAATTGTGGAATACTAAAAAGATCTTAAAACTAATAGGGAGCTGGAGTAAACAGACTCGTTTATAAACTTTTAGAATCTTATAGAGGCTATCCCATTTGTTATCACCTTTTTTCATCAAGCAATTGATTTTCATATTCTTAGTACTAACTCATACTTTATTACCTTCTTTATATAAAGAGACATTGGTACAAGTTTTGTTAATATAATCTTCATATCTCTGAATGGATTGAGCAGCTAGGGCTTTCAATTTTGTTAGAATGATATCAAATCGATCCACAATCTCATTAGTTTTTAGAAACTCATATTTGTATTGATATAATAGGTTTAGGGAAACAGATAAAAAGAGCTCAACATTAAGGCATAGATGAAAACTATAATTAGCAAAGAATAGGGATATACCAATAGTCTCTGAAGTAATATTATTAAATGCAAACTCTGTGAATGAAAGCCAATCGTACCAATCATTTTAATAGAAGTTTATAAAAGCCTGAAGATATTATTCTACCATAATATTAATCCTCTCTGTTTGTTTATTGGATTTGGGGTAAAACAAGGAGGATCGTTTCAAAGTGATTGATAGACACTCAAATAAATACTTCCAGAATTCTGATATAAATTGTAAACCTCTATTGAATACTATATTGTCAGGTATACCATATAAACAATAAACTTTTTCAACAAATCGATTGACGAGCTCCTCTGCGAACAATTTTATAACCAGAATGAAATAATATATTTTGTTAGGCAGCAGATAACTGTAACAATATATTAATGCTTTTTACTATAGCATTTGCTGATTGATAGTAATGTAATATAATCAATAGAGATATCGGATTAGAAGCGGAATAATACTAATAGGGATTCTAGGAATCCGGATGTGACAAGATGGGAGGCTTTGGTTCGAAAACAGAGTTGATAGGCTTATATATAAATTTCGATTTCCCTCAACATATTAGGCTATCAGTATGTATAGAAAACAAAATCAATAATTTTAACTCGACCGGGATATCCTGCCAAACCAATAGAGTACATTCGATATATAATCTGGATGCGAAATTCAGTAGAGAGAAGAATAAAGAAATAATTGCAATAGAAAATTTTATTATTAATTAATTTATAATCTTAAAAAGCAATTCAGAGATCTTTTTGAATCAATAGCAATTAATAGCGAGCAATTAGATTTTGAAATGTTTTATGCATAATAATAACCAATTCGGATGATTTGTATGCTTTATTGATAAGATCGTCAATCGGCTTCTCAATATTAGAAATAATCATACCTATAGATATTGTAATAAGATTGATATTATTATTTGTTTGTCGAATAAAGTCCTTGAATGTAGTAATGTTGAATACTCTTTTCGGAAAGACTATTTATAAGCAATTCTTGATTTAATCGTTATTAGGGTCAGTATATACAAAGCGATCTTCTGCTTTTCTATTCAATATATCAAGACAAACTGCTTTAAGACCCAGTCTATATATAATATAAAAATTGAAACCAATCAGGAATTCAGCCTATCTAGCTTATCTTTAATTCAATATCTTTATTGATATAAAGTATTCTAGATTCTTATAATCAGTAATGATTTCGAATAACTCTTGAATTCTATATAGTTCGGATCTCCATTCTTCTAAGAACTTGATGATAATTAGTAGTTCCTTATTATAAATCTTATAGTTATATTTGATAGCATTGTGTTTTAAGGAGAAATATATAACCAGATGTAGTTGGCCCTTATTGTTATACTAAGAGAGTATTTTGTTTGTAATCTAGTCGGAAGTATTTATCTCAATAACTATACAATAATAATAATCAAATATTGCAAGAACTGGAGTGGAGATAAAGATATACTTCAGGTTTTCAAAGGTATTCTTTTGATTAGTAGTCTAATTTTATATATTCTCTTTTTTCAATAAACAATTTAAAGATTCCATAATTTTAGAAAAATTGCGAATAAAATATTAGTAGAAATTGGTGAACCCTAAAAAGTATTAGAGGTCTTTTAGTTTAGTTAACAATTTTTATTTGAGGATAATCTTAATCTTATTAGGGTCCATCTTGATATCATTAGGAATAATAATTAGGCTGAGGTATTTCATTCTTCTTGTTTCGAACTTGCATTTATCAATATCAATTTATAATTCAGTATTAATAAGTTTCTATACAATTTTATAAACTTGTTTTTGATAATCTATAATATTCTCAAAGTAGATTAAGATATTGTTTAGATATATTATACAATTTTTATCCAAAAGATTAAAAAGAATATAATTGATATAATTCTGAAACGAGATAGGAGTATTACAAAGGCCAAAAGGTATTACTAGGGATTCGAATAAATCAAAACAAATTGTAAAAGCGGTTTTCCATTTGTAACCTTTCGCAATCCGTAGTTTATTAAATATGGTGATAATATTTAATTTAATATAAACT